ATAAGCACATTCGAGGCTTCAGTTACAGGAAAATATGAAGCCATCAAGCAAGAATTGGAGAAATATTTTAATGAAGATCCAGATAGTGAAATACTGGTTCAGTGGAAAGCAAATTTTGAAAATAAACTAATAGTCCTTAAAGAAGCACTTATTTCAGACAGCCAAAGAAAAGCCAATGAACTTATTAGTTTTAAAAAAAGTCAAGAAAAATTGGATAAACAAAAGTCAGCTTACAAAAAGGAATTATTGGGAAAAAGCCGAAAGTTGGCTTTAACTGTGAAGGGCAAAGAACTGAGTGAGGAAAAGCTATATCAGAAATTTGATCAACTTTGGAAAAAATAGGTCTGTGCTGTGTCCTTAATCACAGAGCCTAACATTGATGTGGATTCTGAAGACATCCTTTTGAATTATTTCAAACAGGAGAAAAACATGGCGGACATACTGAAGAAATATTCTGGAGAAAAGTTTCAAATCAACTATTTCAAACATGTCAAAATGACTAGGACATTTACCTTCCTTACAAGGAATTTAGAAAGCTGTGATAAAGAGTCCATAAATATGACTACTGAGCGCATTATTTCAAAATTTGATGAAACTCTTAATAACATTAGGAGGCAACGGTGTGATTACAATCCCAGTTATTTCCATGAAATTCTGAGAATAATAGATGAGGAGTTGAAATCTGCACCTACTCATGAAAGATACAAAATTACAAGTAACTATAAAATTGACTTATCTTTATGTTTATTCCAAAGAGCATCAGAGAAATTTAAGGAGATGCACATGGCATTCAAGAGAGCAAATGATCCTGTAAACTACCTGGAAAGCAAGAAAGATGATTTCTTCACGAGTTTTAAGATTTCTTGTCAAGGAGCAACCTCAATCAAAACATTTGTCGATTTTCTGTGGCAAAAACTCACTCCTGCTGTTTCCACCACCATATGGGAAAAAATGTCCCGTAACATTTCTGGAGACATACGAGCTACCTGCCCCACATTCAATGGAAACAGGGCTAACCTGGAGAAACACATTCTCATCTCTCTAGCAGAAGATGAAAATTTTGATAATTACTGGCATTACATTCATAATCCAGAATCATTTTTTAGGAATTACATTAAAAACCATGTTAAAAGATATTGTTCAGACAAAGGAAGTGAAAAAATAAAGACTTTTTTAAAAATAAGTTTAGGCGACATCAAGAATGCCATCTTCTCAGCTATTCATGAATCCACTGCAATAGCTAAAGATAAAAGCAGCACTGTGTCTACGTGGTTGGATTTGTTCTGTGATCACTTGGGCAGTGACTTGATCTTCCCATGAAAAGACCTGATAAGCATTGAACACCAGGAGATTAAAGATATTGAGTTTCTCAAAGAAGCTATGAGTGAAGCTTTGGATCCCGCAATGAAGAGAGCAGAACAGAACTATTTGAGTATGTCCACAGAAAAAATGGCTCCTGAAATCGAGAAAATGCTCTCTGAACGTCTCTCTGGCTGCTGGAAACAGTGTCCCTTTTGTAAAGCTATTTGTACAAACACACTCCCTACACATGACGGAGACCACAGTGTTCCCCTCCACCGTCCTCAGGCTGTCAATGGATGGAGATGGCATAAAACAGACCACTTCACCACTGAGTGCTGTACTAGTCTGGTAGCAAGTGATTGTGTTTTTATTTTGGGAGGTGACCAGAGATTCCCATATAAGAACTATCGCCAGGCAGGAGGGGAGTATGCCACATGGAGCATCACCCCGGACTCATCCACCCAGCCATATTGGAAATGGTTCGTCTGTCACTTCAGATCAAAGCTAGAAGAAAAATATCAGAAAAAATTTATAGGTAAAGGTAAAATCCCTGATGCCTGGACCAAAATCACACAGCAGAATGTGCTTGATGACTTGAAAAAACAATAATATTCAATGACCACAAAAGAGCACCAATGTCTCAACAAAAACGTCACAGTACCTGAACAATCCTAAAATACCTGCTCCTCATGATGAGAATCCTCATTATTTCCACTTTTCAAATGACACATCTAAAAATAAATCAATTAACATTTCAAGAGTTGAAGATTTCCTGTGAAAGGATTTCATTTTTCTTTGCTTCTATTCCTTCTGGTTTAAAAACAAATTACTAAAATATATGAACATATAATAAAATCAAAAAGAATCCAATTAAAATAATGACTTCATATTTTAAACTATTATTCAGAATGTTATTTTTAATCTTATGTAAAGCCTCAGAGAAAGTCATTTTTATAGATGGAAGTCAAAATCATTGGAGACTGCTACAAATTTCTATAGAATAACTATACGGTCATCTCACCAAGTATACAGTTCTTCGCCAGAAGCTACAAATTGCCTTT